TCAGGTCGCAACCAAAATCGGTTTGCCACCAAATTCCTAGGGGGCAGAACGGGATAACCGTATTTACATTGGACCTTTTGGGAAAATTTGATTCGGGTCACGACCAATTCGGGTCATGACCAGAGTCGCGGAACGAATTAAGTTCGTGACCCGAGGTACCACTGTAGTTATAACGAATAGCATACTCAAGTACTGTTTAACAGTTAAGATTTTTTAAAAAAAATGCTTTTATCTAAAATATCTGGAAAAATAAGCAAGACTTAATTCCACAATTCCAGACAATGATAATATGACAATTATTCCAAACATGTCTTGCATTGATCTTAGTATCATCTTCTCCTCAGGGGACTGGTGTATTGCTTTCTGAAGATGACACAGTATACGAAGGAGAATTTTCAGATAACTGGACCCTTAATGGAAAGGTAATGTGAAACACTTGCTTTCCTTAAGCAGAACAGCTTATTACAAGTAAGTTCATTATATTTATTTCTCTTTCCCTTTTTCTTCCAAGGGAACATTGACTTTGCCAAATGGAGACACTATTGAAGGCACTTTCAATGGTGAATGGGGTTCTGGAATAAAGATTACAGGAACCTACTTCAAACCCACTTTATATGATCATGAGAAGGACCGGTCTAAAACGCTGTGAGTGGATGGGAGCTAACTTCTCATCAGACTGTTCTATCACTGTATGTAACTAGTGTTGTAATTGAACACTGGCATTAACTTGAATGCCAAGGGCTTTTCCAGTCATGCACTGCATCGCTCTATTTGCTCAAACTAGTCTACTTAACTAAGATGATTGGACAGAGAATGGGAGCTTACATCTGATCCATTGACAGTTTAGGTCAAGTTCTAGATCTAATAAGGCTTTTGGAAAAACAGGTCATGAATAGGACTGAAAGAGACTTTTAGTAGCTCTATATGATCTGTTGCTCAAATTTCCTGTGTACTTGGAACTTCCAAGATTGTTTCCTGCAGGGGACTTTGAATGAAATAGTTCTTGAAAGATATTTGAGGGTTTTAGTTAGTACCCATCCAACAGTAAATTTCCTGTAACTGTGTCATGTAGGGCCTAATGCTGGAGAAACTGCACCTGATTAGCATCAGATACAGTACTCGGTGGTTATTGTAATATAGCAGTAACTTAAAGCCACGAGCAGTCTGGGATCTTTATGTGTTTAGAGAACCCCTTTGTGTATATACGGCTGCCTACCTATTCAGTGATTCTGAGGAAGCTTATACACCTGCAGCATCAATTTGGTTGCAGCACCAGCAGAATCAAGACCACTGTCTCATCCCTGTGCAGGTTTTCAGAAAAAATATATGACGACTTTATGGGAATGTTGTTATTTCAGTTAAATAAAAAATATGCAGCTGTCTGTAATACTCTTGACATCAGATGACTATTTGAAATATTTCATTTAGGAAGACTATTTGATATTTATGGCATGACATTCTAATTTTTGTCAATCAAGCATGCAAAATTAGTTGTTACTGTATAACCCCCAGTTATGGCTGGCAGGTTTTCAGTAAGAATAGAAACTGCTGAAACAGATTCATGAAAACTTATATAACAAAAATTGTTTTTATTGCAATATGACTACCCATCTTGAAATGGTGAATTAATTTGTTATGGTTCTTGATATAAGCTGAATATAGAGAGAGCTTAAACATTTTCATTAGTACCATAGTACCATACTACTAGTCAAGGCTCAAAAGCTGGGACTGGGGAAGAAGGGATTGGAGTGAGCAAGAGTGAGCCTCGTGCAGGATTTCAGTGCAAACACAAAATAAGTTATGCCATTTCATTCTGTGTGTGTAAGTGTGTTTAAAGGGTTTGGGTGTAAATTGAGGGTTGCTTTCCTGATATTCAGAAGTCTGCTTTGGGGAACTCTCTTCTGGTTTTCAGGATGTGGACCTGTCCCTCAGACATCTGCTCATTTTGTTTGATTAAACCTGCAGTTACTGTTTTTTAAATGTTTCCAGGCGGAAGCTAGGAAACCTTGCTGTCCCAGCAGATGAGAAGTGGAAGGCAGTGTTTGAGGACTGCTGGCACCAGCTCGGCTGTGAACAACCGGGCCAAGGGGATAGGTGGAAAGCTTGGGATAACATTGCTGTTGCCCTGACAACCAATCGGCGGCAACACAAAGACAGGTTAGTAGGTGGGGCAGATGTATTTTGTTCAACATGACAACAATTCTAATGCAAAATTCAGTTGCCATTTAATTGCTTGTTAAAGTGAAAATATTCTGGGCTCTTAGGAAGTTAATCTGTATATACGTTGGAATATAGGCAATTTGATTTTAGGGATAGGTAACGTGAAACTTTTTTTTAATCTCTTTTTTATACTTATAGAAAGTTCTGCCATCTACCATGTTCTACATTTATTGGGTATTGATAGAGTAAATACATCAGTGAGAGGCTCTATAGTGAAGCTATTTGTCATATATCTGTTGTTTTGTGTTCATAATTATTTACCTATTAAAGAGGTTTTAGTAAAAACAATCTTACCAATGATACAGGAAACAGAAATTTAACTTGTGCACTTAAAATCTATAGTTCTGAAATTTAGAAAATAGTGATCAATTTGGGGATGTGAAACTGGATTGAATGTGATGAGTCTAATACATGCTGTGAAATTGCAAGATGATAGAAGCAAAATGTTTAATATTAATAGCTGATATGTTTCTTGTGTTTTTTCACATTCTTTAGCTTTAAAGGTACATAGTTCATGTGTGAAAAATAATCTTCTGTTGTGAAAGAAAAAGAGTTTTTACCTGCTACCAGATTTTACCACTTGCAAAATTGTTGTGTTTATTTTTGGCCTAAATAATTGGCTCCCACACCTTTTCTGTGTAGGTTCTAACCATAGCCATCTATTCTTGCAGTCCAGAACTCTTGAGCAGGTCACATGCACAAACCCTGGAAAGCTTGGAGTTCATTCCACAACATGTTGGTGCCTTCTCGTTGGAAAAATACGACAACATTAAGAAATACCTTGTGAAGGTATATGCAAGCCAGCATCTATGCAGTGTGCATTTACAGATAGTATCAGAATAAAATAATGGCTGCTATCTGTAGATGCTTTGATATATAGATGTTATCCTTTCTAATTAAGAAATCTGTAGAAAAAGACAGTCCCATGATTATTTAGGCTTCCTTGGAAGAAAAGTTTGGTTGTGTTTTGTAGACATAGCACAGGGATGGACAACATGTAGCTGGGGGCCAAATGGGTAGATGACAAGATAAAGTGGATGGAATTAGGATTTACTTGGGATTTTAGAGTTTGAGTTTTATGTTATCATCATCATCAGTTGATTTAAAGCCACCATTTGTCAGTAATTCTAGTCAGAAGGATTCTAGTGGCTATAAAAAAGGGTATTATGGACTCATCCTTAAGACAGGATACATACAAAATTGCAACTTGAGAACCATATACTTACTAAAAATGTGAATTTGTGCTAAATAATTTTCTAAGAAAACTGTTCCTATTCTTCCCTAACTCTGCAAGTATTTCATATAAATTTCAGATAATACTGCACAAACATTAATCTTGAACTTAGGATCTATTTGTGTGAGATACACAGGTCATACATTTTAGATTTTAATGTATTTAAATAAAGTACCTTACATTTGAGCCCCTTAGTTCTGCTGTTTTACATAGCTTTCTGGTTCTTTCATCTCCATCCTTTTTAGGCATGTGATACTCCTCTGCACCCTTTGGGAAAACTTGTGGAAACCCTGGTAGCTGTCTACCGCATGACGTATGTGGGAGTGGGAGCCAATCGACGTCTATTGAAGGAGGCAGTAAGGGAGATTAAATCCTATTTGAAGCGCATCTTCCAGTTGGTCAGGTAAGAAAGTTGCTAGCAGGCAACATTGGAATTGTTTGATTCATTTTGCAGAAAGAGTAATAGAAGAAAATGTTGTTTCAACAATTATGGGTACTTTTCATTTAGACTACACGTTTTGGTAAATTGATGGTAATGCTTTGTGTTGCTTTTAAGATTCCTGTTCCCTGATCTTCCTGAAGAGGGCAGTGTAATTCCCTTGCTGATGACTGAGATGAAAGGAACACGATCTTTCTGTACTGGAAAGAAGGACTCAAGACCTGAATCTCCAGAACCAGGGTAATTCCGTCACAAGAAAGCCCTAAGATTTTTAAGAAAATAAATCTAGGAAGTAAGGGCTAGCGTTAAATCTGGTCAAAAGAGGCTTCATTTTTTTTTCTTTTTGATTGGAAAAAAGCTGGATGCTCATTCAGTATATCATACATTTTTTTAATCCTTGAGTCTGATCCAGTAAAAAAGCTAAATACAAATACATAATGTTAAAACATTGTTATGGATTTAATCCTGTGAATTTAATGCTTGTGTTTGTGTGGGTTCTATTTCAAAAGGAGAAATTCTGATTCAGTAGATTATCCGAACAATGTTTTACCCTTTGGGACCACATGCCAGCTTACCTAACTAAATGAACAGACTGAGATTTATTTGCCTCTATTACTCTTTCTTAGACTGCTTTAAGACAGGAGTACTAACCACCCATTCCACAGGGGTGTGGTCTCCTTCATTTCTGGCACTTTTGCTGTGCCATCAATTAATAATATGCATCTTACCCTCCATGGATAGAAAAGTTTGTCCTTTATACTTCTGGCTCCTTCTGTGTAGCTTAAATGTGAAAGAACTTCAGTGCTGTGATGTCTTGTAGTGTGTGCAAATATTCAAACTTCTCAGGAATAACTGAGAAAAAAGACTGAAGGAGTAATTCTTGGTGGAAAGAGAGATGAAATAGGTAGGGGAAGTGAATTTCAGATCTTCCATCCCCTTTTGTCTCTTCAAGATGTTTCCTTGATTAAGAAAAGATGAGTTGGTCGTAATCAAATCAATTCTACTAATGTTCATAGACCACCAATTCCTCGGAATAATGCCTAAAATTGTTTTTTTTTCCTGCTCTTTATATTTTTAAGTTATGTGGTTACAAGCTCTGGCTTGTTACTTCCTGTGCTGCTCCCACGACTCTACCCTCCTCTATTTATGCTGTATGCCTTGGACAATGAACGAGAGGAAGATGTTTACTGGGAATGCGTTCTGCGTTTGAACAAACAACCAGACAAAGCACTGTTGAGCTTTTTGGGAGTGCAAACGTAAGCATGCTTCCTAGTTCTTCTTGTGAATATGCATTCTCAACTTCATTTATTTTTGCTTTAAGCAGGAAAAAAAGATTTAATTCCCTTTTTGTCTCCTCCAAATAGATGAGGAGGTTTTACTTGACAAAAACCTTCAATCTCCCTAAGGATTTCTAGTAGGAAACAAATAATTATTGTGCTTAAAAATTATTTTTATAGGTAGGCTAAGGGAAGAATACTGCAGAAAGTAGGTCTGTTCCTGTGAATTGATTATGCCAATTAAGTCTTTACTGGCCTACGGATTCTAGAATTTCCAAAGCGTAATGCAAATAAAGCAGGAATAAATTCACCATATATTTCTTCTCTTTCATTGGATACTCTTCACATTGAGAAGAACATTTATGCACTCAGAAATTGGACCTCAGTGATGATTGTGGCTTTATTGATCTCAAAGATGTTTGGTCAAGAGGTATCTTGCATTTCTAAATAGTGCAGATGTCTCTGATGCCTCTAAAATTCTAGGCCTGCATCATTGCACACTAGTGGTTTGGATCATCTTTCCACAGCTTATCTTTTTATCAATGAGTCATTCTGTGTTAAGAACCTTTCTTCTGCGACATACTTATTTTATGGTGCTTCTTACAGGAAATTTTGGCCAACAACAGCATCTGTCCTTGGTGAAAATAAAAAGGTATGTTTTATTTACAGGATTTTTATTTATGAAATGCATGTTTGTGTTCCTCTGGGTTTTTGTCCTGGATGAAAGAGAACTGAAGAACATACTGTCAGTTTTAATGGATTAATATTTCAGTTAATATTTAAAATATCAAATCATATATCAGTCTTTTTTACACTACATGGTGATTCTGTGACACTTAATTCTTCCAGGGACAATTCGTATTTTCTGCTGCAACAACATTGTAATGTTTACAGGAAACATTTCCCACTTTATGTAATTTCTGTCATCATAAAATAATTTTTAGATTTTTGGTTTTTTAGAATATATATTTAATCACTTGGGCAGAGGCGTTGCTCTTTTATATGTTCAGATTGTGTGTTGGTTGAAGGGTACTTTCTGTTAGAAACTGTATTTTGTGATTTTTATACAGTGGAAATATCCTATGAATACCGATGTGTTGTCCTTTAGGCATTATGCCTTGTAACAGTTACCTATCCTAGCAGCTAAATAATATGTAAGTCAGTCATGTGGTTTTTATTTATGAAACATATATGTTAAAAATGTAAGTGCCTTTTAATATTTTGAAGGTAATTTTGCATTTAATAATAAAGGCTGTCACTCACTGTTAAAAAAAACACTAGGAAAAATATTTGCTTCCCTGTTACACCAATAATTCAGAAATGACATAGCTTCAAAAGAAATTTAGTGCCCCAAAAGTTCTGACACTTATCTTTCTTTTAAAGCTATTTTGGTTCTGAATTAATCAGCAAGGTTAGATTCATTGCTGATTAATTAATTCATTTAATTAATCAACATTTTTATTTCAAGGTTGAAACCCTGAGCACAGCATATTGAAAATCTCACTTTCCCTCTTTGAAATAACCTTTCTAAATCAAAAGGATTGGAAACATTGAACAATTATGCTGGTCCAGAAGACAAAAAATCAGAAATCTTAATGCAACCCCTTAAGGATAAAGGGTTAATAAATAAATAATTATTTTTTATTCTTATGCCTAGGTATTACCAAACACAAAAGATGCCTGTTTTGCTTCAGCAGTAGAATGCCTACAACAGATCAGGTAACTTCAAAATTAGGATACTTACCTTCCCACCTTTCAGTGGGAAATAGGACTACTTGTCTCAGTGATTTAAAGGTTAGGCCATTATATATTCAAGCTCATTGAAGTCTTTCATGAATTTATTTTCTTACCTTGTTTCATCACTTGGACATTTTAGTTTTGAAATCTATATCACTTCTAAAGGATTTGAGGAACTTTTTGTTAATTGCTTAATATAGAATGAAGAAAATATAGACTAAACAGAATTTGGCACATTATCTTTTTTAAAAAATAATTTTATTAACAATTATAATTGCAGTAATAAAAACTAATACAAAATAATAAAAACAATACAAAAGAAAAGAAGGAAAAAGTAAAAAGTGCAAAGAAAAAGAAAAAGAAAAAAAGAAAAAGAAAAAGAAAAAACATAGAAGAAAGAATATAGGAAAAAAAAGAAATATATAAAGTGACTTCCAACCATTATCACAAGTATGAACAATTTTTGTAACTTTTCACCTCCTCTTAATTTACAACCAATGATCTCTTTATCCCATGTCCCATCTCTTATCTATAAAGCATTGTCATTTCACTCCTGGTGTCAGCAAAAATCTATTAATGGTTGCCAGAAATAACAACATACCTATTTTAACCTTGATCAAATAAGCCAACTTTATATTCCTTCCTTTTACTTCTAACAATCTTGATCTTTAGTCCATTCAAGTAATGTCACAGAACTTGATTTCTTTTCT